CTGTGCTTAAAATTCAGTATGAGATCTCATTTGAGAGTCCCGGTTCAAGTAACAAGAACCAGAGTTTTTGATAACATTTAGATAAAAACTGCACTGAATTTACCTCCATCTTACATTTTCTGACTCTCAGAAAGTTTGGGGAGAAATTGTAATTCTAAAATAACTCAGAACTAAAGTGGGAAAAGGGGCACGTTTGCATTCAACAACAACAAAGTTTCTAGCTAAATAATTCCCTGGTAGACTAGGGCATTCAAATGTTAAAATTATATGGAGCTGGCCTAAAATCTCAGAAAAGGAAGGCTTGCCAAAGATAAAGTTTATGCTGCATTTCTCCATTAGGTAGATACCACTACCCAAAGGAGAAACAAGAATTTAAAAGGTTTCCACTATAAAAGACTTCCTGACATAAAGGTTTATTAAAATCTTCATACATAATCGTTAATATTTCCTTTCAGACTTATTTTATATTCACTAACGAGTTGAGCACTCTATTTTGAAGTTGGTTTCCCCATACGCTGCTGAGTTTTAACTTTACCTTTATCCTATCAAAAACATGAAAAACCTGGGGCCTCCCTGGTGGCACAAGGGGTTAAGACACAACCTATGAAGCTATCCACAGCCACTGCAGCACGAGTTCGATCGATCGTGGCCAGGGAGCTATCCACATGGCACAGCAGACCTCTCCTGACTCACCTACCACTTCCCTTAGCAATGTATTTCAGCCTCCCGTTCTGCTCCCCACTTTGTCTCTTGTGAATCCTCTCACTCTACACCTCTGGCCTGTACCCCATTTCTTGTATGCATAAATAAATCTTAAAAAAAAAAATGAAAAATCTTATTTCAGTCTTTTTTGGTAACTCAAACCTACTGGCTTCTTTTCTCATACACATTTTACCCTACATTCTACAACAGGCACATAGCATCAGGTAAGAACAAATAATAGCAAAATTGTAACTAATAGTAACCTCTCCAACCTAAGAGACTGGTTTCCTATTCTCCCCTCAACCTGCAGTGAAACCCAAGGAGACCACTTACCTCCTACTTCTTGTGGCCTTCAAATGTTGGCGACTTCCAGTACAGTGGGCTATTTGTCTTTTCTAAACGTTATCGTAATTTACTGAGTTTTGAGCTCATATTTCAAGGATTGGGAAGTATAAGTACTGAGGAAAGTGCCTTATTTTGTGTTTAGAATTTTTACACTCCGGCAGGAATTTTTTTGCATAACTTTTAGTATGCCCAGAGGCTAATTTACAATTTTTTAGAAGAGAAACTATAATTTAAATGTACACCTTTGAAGCAACATGAAGACTCAAAACCAAGAGGCCTCCCTGGTGGTGCAGGGGTTAAAGCCTCAGCACCATCAAGCATGAGTTCCATCCCTGGCCAGCATACCTTTCCTGTCTCACCCTGCTGCACCCCTCAGCAGTGTATTTCAGTAGATCTGCCTGTTCTGCTCCCCACTGTCTCTGGTGAATCTTCTTACCCCCACCCTTCTGGCCAACACCCCAGTTCTCATATACATAAAAAAAATCTTTAAAAAAAAACAAAACTAAACAAAACTAAAATCATGTGAGAAATAGGCTATTAAAAAAAAAAAACTAGTAATAAGTAAGTATATATAAAAAAAAAGACTCAAAAACCAGTCTTAACAGAGATTTACAAGAAAGAGTTAAAAGTCCTATTTCAGGGCAAGGGCATGGTCCAAGTACTCTGCTCTTGATACAGAAGGCAGACCAGCAGACCAGGTGTTTGGGGCCATTTTATTTGTGACACCTGCACTACAGTTCTTTAAAAAGTGACCATGTAAGAGTTCTAACATAAAATATTTCCTGAGGCCTAAAATAATCTAACCCATCATGGGAGAAACTTACTTAAAACAGAGAAAAAGGGCAAGGAAAAGCTAAATAAACCACTCAATGAGATTTGCTCTGGGGCAATCAACCAAAGACCACATACTTAGTCTATACTGCTCTTCCTTATCAACTTCAAGGAAATGGAGAGAGCCCTTGGGGGGGGGAATTAATTTTTAAAAAAATCTCTCCAGGAAGGAAGCCCTTACACCAAGCCCCCCCCCCAAGCCAAATATAAAAGTAATCATTGCTCTTTAAAATGCAAAATTTTCAATGACTATTGTTCAGAAAATCCAGTATAGATTACTATATTTTCGTAACATTTAAAGTTTACTTTTTTTAGTATAACAAGCTCTGCTCACAAAAATTCCTAACTAGAACCACTCAACAGTAAAATACTTCTCAAACCAGCACCACCAACCATAATGGCTTGGGATTTACAGATTACATGAGTCAGGTTATATCAAACATAACAAATCTAAAACTTGTCATTCACTTTAAAATACAATTAAAATCTGTGGTCAACCCAATAAAATCCAGAGATTGAGACACTGGTTACAGTGTAACATTACTGGAGATGAATGAGTATTGGCAGTGTTTGAAGGAAAAAAAAAAAAAAGGAGTAAAGTTATTTTCCTTCTCACCTTGATAAAAGTGCACAAGTGAACTAAGGCTTACTCATTTTCTAGCTTCCAGAATTTTCCTGAACAAAATGACAAGTCACCTAACAATCAAACAGTGCTCTGCAGGTTTAAGCATAGAAAACAACAAAAGTGTAGGCAGGAAGAAAGAGAAATCAGACAAAAATTTAACATTTCACTTTAGTAAAGCACAAAGTCAAATACATAATGTTCTGAAAAGTCCTTCAGAAAAGATGCAGAAACACTTCTAGATACGTCAATAGATTCATATAGATCAAAGGACCAAAAATCCCACCTACCTCAAGTCGTCTATCCATACTTAATTTATCACTCTTAACTATTTACTCACTCAAATACTCATTTTGTTCATACTAAAAGAGGCAAGACTGCCATCTTCACCATAATACAGACGTTGAAAATCTTTGTGACATCTAATGTTTCCTCCTCCAAATAGTACACACTTGAGAAGTAAAAAGTTAACCACCCCGAATCATGAGATCAAGAAAAATACATCAAATATGTTAAAGGTCAAAGGAAGTCCGAACTTTGGATAAACCTAGTGGAAATCCAAATCAGAATTCCACGACTGAGGGTAGTTATCTCACATTTATAATACAGTTCTTAAATTCCCAAGTGATGAGCATTTTTACCTTTCCTTATTTTTAGAACTACACATCACACTGCACATCACATGACATGATGTAACTGTTAGCAAAGAAAATGGCCCAAACCACTGAAAATATACATGGTAAGAAGAAACAAATCAATGTATACTTAAGCATTACTACATTTCACATTATTTAAAAAAAAAAAAAAAAGGTCTAACTCACAACAGATTTTTTTCTAATTGGAATAGCTAGTAGCCTCTGTAGAAACAACCAAAAAATGTACTTGGTGTTTTATAAAATAGTTTACCCATTATGGGGAAAATTGATATGAAGAAAGATACTAGCGCAACAGTCTTCCTAAGCTACAAGGTTAAAACCAAAAATCTGGATCAGAAACACTAATGAAATTCCTTGAGGTAGAAAACAGTTATTACTCAAAAAATAGTTTTGACTGACGGCGTCTGCAAATTGGACAGAGAGTATGTTAGAAAAGGAACCAAGGCTACTCTACTGGGGGAAGGCAGGTGGAGGGGGGAACACACCCACTTAAGTCTTCGTAAACAGCTGTACTTCAAATGACCCCAAAAAGCAGGTAACAGAAATTACATACAATTCCGTGAAACGGAAAACGTATTCCAAGGTACTGCTTTCCATACTTGAAAGTGCTTTTGCGACGAAGTTCAGTAACAATCTATATCACGATTATGCAAGGCTAAGATTATGTAATTTTATCGTTTATAATGAATGTTCTCCGACTATAAAACTAAAACGTTTTGATATCTCCAATGGGGAGGGGGAATTTCCTCTGGGCTACAATTTAAAAATATAAACACACACCCCAAAACAAACAAAAAAAAAAACAATGATTGCTAGCCACGTGACAAAGGCGCTGGCAACACCAGGATTGTGAATGGAGAGAGGGAAGCCGGACTGGAGGACTCGGGAGATTTCTCCGAACTTTGGGGACCACGGGATTCGGGTCCATACACCCTTGAGGTACCAAACTCCGGCCCTACGAGTTGTATTTTTAACGCTCAAAAGTACAATTTTATTAATAGGTCACTAAAAATGCCCCAGTGACCTCCAGAATAAACGGGGGAAAAAACGGAGGTGGAGGAAAGAGAGCAATTTAAAGTGGCGCCATCATGTCACCCCTTCTGCCCTAAGGCAATCAATAAGCAATAGTTAAGTAACGTGTTTCCTAAAAAAAAAAAAAAACAAACAAACAACTCAGTAATCTCGACAATAGAAAACAAAAGGATTTTTTAAGTAAAACAGGAGCGCAGCGTTGCTTATCGCACGTAAAACAATCAAACTATTTGCTGAAAATCAAAAGACCGTCAGCCGGAAAACAGGCCCCCAAACTCACTTAAAAGCAAATAAATGCCTCTTCCTCTTTAGTTTTGAAAAAAAATTACAAAAAAACACGTCCGCCCGAAGGAGACTAGATCTGAAACGTAAGTGACCCCGATTTACAGGCAGGAGAAATGATAAATAAAGGCGGCGCGGGGCCGTGGCGGCCGCGGGCGGGCTGCTCGCGGGACCGCGCGGCCCGGGCGCGGGGAGCGGCCTCTCGCCGAGAACTTCCCGGGGAGAGTTTGCTCCGGCCCCGCGCGAGGCGGACGCAGTCCGAGGCCGGGAGCGGCGCCGCGGAGGCCGGCCGCGGGCGGCGGGCGGCGGGCGGGCGGGCGGGCGGGTGCGGACGGGGCCGGGGCCGGGCCCCCGCCCTCGGCGCCGCCAGCCCGGCCGCGGCGGGGCCGCCCGGAGAGGCCATTTAAAGTTGCGGAGGCAGCGCCCGCGCCCGCGCCCGGCCCTCGCAGTCCCGACTAACAAAGAGAGGAGGCCGGGGCCGGGCGCGGGCGCGGAGAAAGGGCAGCGAGGAGGAAGAGCACGGCACCTACCACGTGATGGAGGAGCGCAGCCCGGGCGGCTTCGGCCCCACAAAATGGGCGCAGTTTGCAAACAGCCCCCGGCCTGGGCGCCGCGGGCGGCGGGCGGCGGGGACGGCGGGGCGCGCGGCGGCGGCTCGGGCCGGGCCCGCCGCTCTCCTCCCCCGGCGCCCGGAGCCGCCCCGACTTTCCGGGCGGGGGGGCGAGGCGGAGGGGGAGGGGAGGCGGGGAGCGGCCGCTTCTCCGCTCGCGCGGGCCCTTCCGCGGCCCCTCGGCTCCGGCGGGGCCCGGGCACGGCCGGGAGCGCAGCCCGGCCCCGAGGACGGCGGGCGGGGGCCGAGGGTGCAGCCGCCCCCCCGCCCCGCACAAACAAGCGCCGCCGTCTGCACCCGCGCCCGCGCCCCGGCCGCCGCCCCGGCGCCCCTTCCCGGCCGGGGAGCGCACCCCGGCCGCCCCCCGCCCCGCCGCGGCGAGACGAGTCGGCTTCGCGACGGCGCTCGGTCCTCCCGCCGGCTCGGCGAGCGGTGGCGGCGGTGGCGGCGGCACTGGGAAAATGGCGGCCGAGCTCCTTTTCCCTCCCCCCCTTTAATCTGAAGCGGAGGGAGAATGGAGCGAGCGAGCGAGCGGGCGAGCGCCGGGGACACGGGGAGGAGGGACAGCAGCGCCTCCGCCGGCTGCGGCTGCGGCGGCGAGGGCCGCTCCGCCCCGGCGCGCCGCCAGGGGGCGCCCGCCGCGCCGCCCCCGCGAGCCGCCGGGAGGCGCGGCCGCCGCCGCCTCAGTCATGGCTCCTCGCGGCGGCCGCGGCGCCTCCGCCTCCGTCGCGGAGGCCGCGGCCCGAGCCCAGCCGCCCCCGGACCGCGGCGCCGGCGCTGCCGAGGCGGGCGCGGGCCTGCTCCGGCCGAGGCGAGGCTGACCTGAGGCGCTGGCGCCGTCACGCTCCCTCCGCGCGGGCTGCGGCCGCGCCGGCCGTGAGGGGCGGCGGGCGGCGGGCGCGGCGAGAGGACGGGGCGAGGGCTGTGTGCATGTGTCGTACGCGCGCCAACGCCGCCGGCGCCACACTACCCCGGCGCTGGGCGCGCGCCCCGGGCGGGAAACCCCCGGCCCGCGAGGCGCCGCCCGGCGCCCTTTGTCCTGGCAGCGCGCACCGCACACTGCAGCACGCCCGGGCACTGGCCCCGGCGCCGCGCTCCGCAGCCGCGGGCGGGGAGGGGAGGCGCTCGCCGCCACTGCGCAGGCGCGGCCCGCGCGGCGCCCGCCCGGGAAGGGGCAGCCCAGAGCGAAAGGGGAAGGGACGGCCGCCCGCGCCTGGCCCGCTGGGAACTGTAGTTCGCACAGGAAGCGCGCGGCTTGTTTTGGGTGTCATGGTTTGGCAGATCCGCCGAAACAGGCGAATGGCATTACACAACGAGTATTTATGCTTCCTGTCGCCGCCAGAAGGAAGTTCACCGCTACGCGACAAGTTTAACAAAGAATTCCACAGAAAACCAAATCCCACAACCAAAAGCAAACCTCTCTCTTTCCTACCAGAGCTGACTTATAATTTCTCATGACCAGTTTGTCAGTACAGTATTTTATACCTTTCCCCAAAACAGGGCGTTAAAATAACGGAAACTTTCTCAGATTAAGAAAATTCAGCAGTGTCCCATTTACACAAGTTAGAGTCCCAGCATCCTTTAAAACTAAAATAAAAGTTGCCAAGAGATGGATTCAGTGCATCAGAATTTAAAAGAGGAAATTTGGGATTCATCAAAATGTTACTTTATATGGCTATAAGGAGAACTTCTTCCGACGATTAAACAATCAAAATCAATAGATGAAAAGGGTGTGCTCTACTAACGAAAAAAAGATGAGAAATACTGTTTTGTGGCTCACCAGAACCAATATCCGGTAGTAGACATCACTTCTGCTAGTCAAAAACACAACCTCGCAGTTTTTAGTCTTCCCATAGAGCTACACTAACTCATCTCCGACAGCATCTTGTACCTATATATCTGTGAGTTTCCATTTGTACTCTTAAAATCACAGTCTCATAGTCATGGTTCTCAAATATCAAAAGGAGGCAGCTAAGAAAATCATAGGTTCAAATAACACAAAGAATAAATCACTAAATGTATGCATTTTTGTATACACATCCAAAAGAGAGCCTGCTCTTCCCTTTTTAATCTATAAGTCGGAGAAGAAAATTCAACTGATTTTAAAATGTACACACATATAAACAGTAATTCCACAAAATACGGCACAGTTCAGGACCAATAGATGGCGACCTAGAGCCCTATTCTGAGGATTCTGAAATCTAAATGAGGAGAATGAAAACACCAAATAAGGCAAAGCCCTCTGCAGTGTATACTTAAATATTATGTTCAAAGACACCCACCACAAAATAATTAATCTTATTACTGCTTCAACTCTTAAAACTCAACTGCCAGCTTTAATTAGGCCCCCAAGTAGCCAAAATTATGAAATACATTTTTTATTGTGTTAAGAGAAAGGTATAAATGCTCATTTTAAAAGATTCTGAGGAAAAATAAATTCCAACTTTCCCTTTCTCTCACTGGTAGCCCAAGAGTCAGGAATTTGCAGGGTTTATGGTACTTAAGTCAGTGAACTTGTTTTACATTGTTATCTCAGATGTCTTTTTTGCCTCAGCACAATTTTTACAAATAAGGACATTCAAAGGTAAACCACTTAGGGAAACACATTTTCTTAAAGTTTCCCTCAGAACACAGTGAATGTCAAGACTGACTAAAAACACACACACACACACACACTCACTTTTCAAGTCACTTTTGGAATAGTTGTGCTTGACTCAAACTGCTACAGTTACCTTACAGTCCACCTAAATATGCCGCCAACATCAAACAGGGTAGAACCTTGGTCCTTGGTGACAGCAATAAGTCATTATATCAAACAATCCTGACATGTACAAGACTTATGGACTTTCAGGTACATGAGAACAATTTCACAACATATATCTCATTATTGTTTGAGCCAATCTGAATCAGGTTTCCTACACCTAAAGTAGAAAAAATACTGATTAATTTCTCATATTTTAGAGTACTTATTATATGATTATTTATATTGTTCTATTTCATATAACATTATTCTCAGAAGAGCCCTTCCCTCCTATACACAGTTCTGTTCCCATCCATGTCTACATGTGTTCTTTCTGCCTAGAAAAAGGACAATTTCTCAATATCTGTCCTTGTTCATTCTTCTCCCCCAGCTCACTACCAACTTATTGTTCCTTCAAGGTATATTCCACCACACTATTCAATGACTTATTTCAACAAAAGGAAGGTAATTGGCACTATATTGCCCTGGTCTTTAGTTAAGTACTCCTGTAATTCCTCTGAGGTCATTTTCACATACCATTCTTTACTCCTGAAGCCAGCCCAAAAACCCTTAAAGGTGGGAACCATGTTTATCCCAGCTTCAAAGTTATTACTCTCACCTATACAACAAACATTCCAGAACAATATTCTCTAACTTCCCCACCATATCTCTTCTAACAATATGTAACAGAAATACCTAAGCAAAATATTTTAAATTTATTTTTTATTTTTTCATTTATGCATACAAGTAACTGGGATATAGGCCAGAGGTGTGGGGGCATGAGAGGATTCACCAGAGACAGAGTGGGAAGCAGAACAGGTGCATCTACTGAAATACACTGCTGAGGGGAGCAGGAGGTCTGCTGCGCAGGAATCGAACTCATGCAGCGGTACCTGACAATAGCTTGATAGCGCTGAGACTTTAATCCCTGCGCCACCAATCACAAATTCGATACCTCATATATTCAAACTAATCTCAAAAGAACAAAGGATAATCTTTGTTTTGCACTTAATTATATTAACTCAGGACAAAGTCCTAAAACCTAAACCATTTAGTGTTAAAAGGACAGGGATCCAGTTTTTGTTATTTCATTCATCCCAGGGACCTAGTTCAGAGCCTTGCAAAAGGAGGTCTTTCATAAGAATTTGCTAGACAAACAAGAACTGTATGGTAATTAACACCATGGGATCCAGGGTAGCCCTAGATTTTATCCTGCCCCCATCACTTAAAGCTGTGTTATTTTGGGCAAAATATATAACCTATGTCTCAGTTTCTGTTCTGTAAAGGGAGATAATATGCCTACCTCTTGAGTTTGGCTATTATTACTATTAATTAAGCTGTTTTTCAAAAAGTTCAATAACTGAAAGGTTAAAATGCAAGATAAGTAGAAGTCAATAAACACCTCTCCCCTAAACTCAAACCTCAAATCCCTATCTACAGACTCCAATCATGTTTTCATTTATAAGCCCAGATAAGGCTATAGGTAAAAATCCTTTGAGCTCCCTGAAACATATTCTAATTCTGAAAAGATATCATAAATCCAAAGTTGCATTAAAAAAACACCTAACAGGGCCTCCCCCGTGGCACAGTGGTTGAGCACTGGGCTGCGAAGCTGCCCTCAGCCTCTGCAGCGCCATCCGCCTCGAGGGTCCCATCTGCTGTGCCCGCTGCTGCCCTCAGCAGTGTATTTCATCAGTCTGCCTGTTCGGCTCTCCGCTCTGGCTCTGGTGAATTCTATCCTTCTCCCGCGCTTCTGACTGTACCCAGTGCTTGTATAAATAAATAAATAAATCTTTAAAAAAAAAAAAAAAAAACTAACAAAAATTTAGTGAGTGCCTATTTAGATCAAAACCCTGATCTAGGGCCTCCCCGGTGGCGCAGCGGTTGAGCGCTGGGTTGCGAAGCTGCCCGCACCTCTGCGGCGCCGGTTCGATCCCCGGCTGCTCCCCGGCCACCGGAGGAGGGTCCCACATGGTGCGCAGACCTCTCCTGCCGCCCGCTGCTCCCCTCAGCAGTGTACTTCAGTCCTTCTGCCTGCTCTGCTCCCCGCTCTGGCTCTGGTGAATTCTCTCACCCTCCGCGCTTCTGACTGTACCCAGTCCTTGTATAAATAAATAAATAAATAAATAAAAAATAATAAAATCTTTAAAAAAAAAAAAAAAACCCTGATCTAGATTATCACAGAAATGAACACATCAATTTACTTAAGACAATATTATAAGTATATCATGGAACATCTTAAACTGAAATTGATTTATGTTCTAATGTTAATATTTAACCAGCTAAATAGTAAACAGAAGGTAGAATAAGCTGAACCAAAGTTAAGGAATTTAAATCAATGGATTTTGAATGTAGAAGGAATATGGAAGGCCATCAAGTTCAAACACCACATTTTATTTAGTGGCAAAATCAGACAAAGAGAAAACAGTTGGACTGCATGGGACCTACAAAGTGGAAGGACATGCTGGGATCAGGGTGCCAGCCTCTGGTTCTCACTTTTTCCACTACATCACCTGCCTTCCGACAGAGGCATACTTACTCACCTGGCCTGGAAGAATTGTAAACAAGATAAAGATACTAAACCAACACTATTTCAGATTTGGACAAATGAAAGTAAAAGAAAATGTTCCCACTTGTTACAATGACTATAAAGCTCAGAAATCAAGATATCTTCTCATTAAATGAAAGTCACAACTGATTCAAAGTATATATTCTTATGTACTAAATCTCACAGTACCAAACTATCCGTAAAGTTAAACAGCTTAAGGCATTTGAAA